GTCTCTGCAGACATGTCGGCCAAAGCCGTCTCCGAGCAGACGGGGAAGGAGTTCCTCTACAAGTACATCCGCACCTCGACACCGGTCCACAACAAGTTCCGCCTCGCCAACGTGACGGGCGAGACCGACTTTGACCGGCTGGTGCAGGAGCATCCATGGCTGCTCACAGAGGTGAGAACGTGTGGACCATAAATCTGGTTCGTTTAGAGACGCTGAAGCGGGCAGCAGAGTGGCCACTTGGTGCTTTTTAGATTAAAAGCAGATAGAAGAGAATAACTCAGTTCTATTAGTTGTGATAAAGCATCTCATGCGCTTTTTGGTAAATCTGAGCTCGGCTATGTTTAGAATAATTGCAGATCTTTTCCTCCCTGACCATCGGCTCCTCGTAGCTCAGCTGCACGGGGTGAAATAAAACCTAATCGAATTCCTTTGTTGTTCATCTTGCAGAGTCAAATGTCATTCAGTCCGTCTTCCTCTCGACTGGAGGTTTTTTATCAGGGAGGTAGGAGGAGGATGAGGAGGACGGATCCACGGAGGTTCTCTAAGTGATGAAGAAATCACATTAACGTTCACCCTCGCCTCTTGCGCTCGCTGGCGAGCTTCCAGATCATAATGGCGCCGCTGTCATGAGTCATTCCCTCTATCTGACTTACGAGGGGGGGGGAGTGAGCCACACCGAGGGGGGGGGTGGATGTAAATATGCTGAGTTATCATTCACGCTTGGTTTCCTCTCTATTTTTATTTTTGCAGTCTAACTGCTTCCACATATCAGAACACTCGACTCACGAGAGTTGTGATTTGTAGGTTTTTAACTTTATACTTTTCACAACGTTTACCTTTTATTGACGCGTAATTTGCCCATAGAAAAACACGGATCTGTTCAGCACCTTCATTGTTCTTTTTAACAGCTGCTTCAGCGTACTTACATTTTTTTATGCTACCTTTAGATGGCCTTTTGCTACTTTAGCTTTTCCATTTTCTACTTTTAGCATTTATCTAAAAATTGTTTTTAACTTTTGTGATGAACATTGACAATAAAAGCATTTATTAATTCGTTCATTGCTTCCATTCTGCCACTGCTCACTAGCCTTTTGCTTTTAGCTTTTTAAAATTTATTTATTTATTTTTATTTATTGTACTCTATTAATCCCCAATGGGGAAATTAATTCTCTGCATTTTTCCCACGGCACATGTGAGCACATGCATGTGCAGCGGGGGGGCTGTCGCCCACCCTCTCTAACCTCTGCGCCACCACTCCCCCCCCCCCCCCCCAAGCTTTTATCAAGCTTCTTGTTACTTTTCACTTTTAGCTAGCACTGTGCTTCTTTTAGTTACTTTCTGCTACTTTTACTTTGCCTTTTGGTACTTAGCATCTAGCTAGCCTCTTGATGCTTTAGCTTTTAGCTAATCTTTTGCTATTTCTTAGCTAACATTTTTTGATTAACATTTTGCTACTTTTACCTAACTTTAACTTACTTGCTATTGCTACATTTAGGTTTTAGCCAACATTTTACTACGTTTTGCTTTTAGCTAGCGTTTTGTTTCTTTTAGCTATTAGCTAGGTGTTCTGCTCTCTTTGGTTTTAGTTAGTGCTCTGCTTCTTTTGGCTTTAATAACAGTTTCAGCTTATTTAGGTAATGTCAGCAGTCACTGAGTCATGAACTGCGATTTCACATAAAATTTCAGTTTCTCCACGCTTGCTTTAGCTTCTTTTGCAGAAGTGATGAGCACTTTTATCTCTTGTGTCAAAATATAGTTTAGAGAGAATGATTTGGTGTTGATCTGAAGAGTTCCTGAGCAGTGACTAAATAAGCTGTGAGGTGGTAGATTCTAGGGGTTCCCAACCTTGCTCCTTGAGGAACACCATCCTGCATGTTTTAGTTGTTTCTCTGCTCCGACACACCTGATTTTAATAAACGGGTGATGAACAGATTTCTGCAGAACATGAGGAAGAAATTAAATTACTGAGTCAGGTGTGTGGGAGCAGGGAGACAACTAAAACATGCAGGATGGTGTTCCTCAAGGACCAGGGTTGGGAACTGCTAGATTAGACTATTATCAGCTACTGTCATCGTAGGCCTTTGTCCGTGTCTGTCTGTTAGCAAAATATCTCATGATCTACTGTACTAATTTTAATGAAACTCTGAAAATGAGTCATTGGGCAATGGATTTACATCTATAACTGATTAGTTTTTAAAGCCAGCCTAAATCAAGATGGCTGCCACTGCCAACTGACCAAAGGGCGGTGAATGATACGCATTCCTTCAAGAAATGCTACTTAAGTTGTAGATGATTGTCGCACATGAAGTTTATAAAAAGCATTGATAACCAAAACGAAGAGTCCAGGTTTATGGATGACGCTCGCTGCTAACACACTGGGCGTTTCATTTTTCCTCCTGCAGAGACTGGTGGTGAAGCCGGACCAGCTGATTAAAAGGCGAGGGAAGCTGGGTCTGGTTGGCGTCGACCTGGACCTGAGCGGTGTCAAAGAGTGGCTCAAGCCCCGCCTCATGAAGGAGACAGTGGTACGTGTGAGCCTCTCTGCTGTCCCTCGGTCTATTATCCCATTACCTCTTCTCCCTTCCTTCACTCTGTGGTTCTATGACGTTTTTTAAATTTCACGTGTGCTCCCTGCCAGGCTCATACTCGTCTTAAAAGCTGTTTACTTCAGCGTTCGGCTGATGGTAGTAAATCAGTCCAGTCATCTGAGGCGATTGTGCCACAGAACAAACACTCAGCCCATCAATCCTGAGCCGCTGCCGCGCCTCATAAACCAGCAGGGAGTTATGGAGGAACTGAGGTGGTTCGCAAAGAAATGACGAAGAGCAGCACCCGGACAGTAAAGCTGCATCTCCTCACGGATCAGATGAACCTGTCACCTGTAAATAAAATAAATGTTGCCGTTTTGTGGTGTAATCTTTATCCTCTGAGAGACACACACAAGGCAATATGTAATCATTTACCCTCATTAGTGTGTTTTACTGATTTTATTCCAGAGGATGGATGTAGCTGCTTGGATGTCATAAACTTTATATCACTGTCTTCTGCTTCTTAAAAGCTTAATCTTGTATTTAGAAATGAATATTTGGGGGTTAGTTACAATTTGTAAAGTATAATTTTAAAATGCTATAGTTGCCATATTACCTCCACAAATGGCTGCACATAAATGGTCACGCCTTGGCTCCTCGTAACAGACAGCGCTTCTTTTTCATTTCCAGACCCCCCCCCCACCCACCTCCTCTCATTGTTCTCTGAAATGGCAGCTCCCTCAGCCGGTCCCTGGTCACACTTTCTGCCTGTTGGCCTTTAACGGGGAAGCAGTGACGGCTTCCACTAAATGAGCTGTGCCTGCAGCGCTACATGACAACTCTCCCTGTTTCATCCATCCATTTTCTTTATCCACTTTTGGTTTCTGGTTCACAGGGGAGCTGGTGCCCATCTCCAGCAGTCTTTTTTTTTATTCCCATTTAAAATGTTGATTAATTGGATCTGCTTTTTTATTTATTTATTGTCATTAGAATCTGCCCCTCCTCCCAGTAGCACATACTGAAAATAAACTAGAGAAAAATGCAGTGTAAATGCTTATTGCTGAAGAATTTGCTGAAAAACAGCTGAAATTAGTTAAAAACACGCTGAAATGGAAGAACAAGCCTAAGTTGGCAGAAATAACGTATATTTGCTGGATTAGGTTTAAATAAGCATAAATGAGCACAAAACTTAGGAACTTGGCAAAAAAAAGAAGCTAAAAGTAGCTGAAAAGGCTAAAATAAGCTTAAACTACCAGAAGGAAGTGGAAAGAACTAAAACGATCTAAAAAATGTGAAATTAGCTGAAAAAGCTGAAATTGGCATCAAAAGAGCTAAATAGCTGAAAGAGCAGAAAAAGCTGAAACTAGGAGAAAATACCAGTAGTTGAAATAAGTGAATATTATCTGATAAAAGCTGAAATTAGCAACAACAACAAAAAACAGCTGAAAAGTAGCAACAAAAAAAAAAAAAATCAGAAAGAAGCTTAATTTACCAGAAGGAAGTTGAGGGCAATTTTTTTTTAATTGAATTTGGCTGAACAAAGTTGAAATGAGTGCAAAAAATATGGAAATAGCCGAAAAATTTAAAATTATCATAGGAATAGGTAAATAGTAGCTGAAATAGCAGAAAAAGCTGAAACACATAAGCTGAAAGGAGCAGAAAGAAGTTAAAAGCACACAAATGTTGTAGTTAGCAGAAAGAATCTGAAAGGAGCTCAAACCTGCTGAAAGGAGCTGAAAAGTTTATATTTGCAGAAGGAAGCTGAAAGAAGCTGAAGCAGAACAAAAAGTGAAAGGAGCAGTAAAAGGTTGTAAACACATCTAAAGATTTGAAGGATGCAAAATGAGCTCTGTTTGTTTTCGGGGGGGGGGGGGGGGGGGGGGAAAAATGGCAGAAAAGGCTAAATATTTCAAAAAGCTAAAGTTGCGCCAATACTAAACATCATAGCAGGATTGTCCTGAAAGAGCCAAACGTTTTGATTTATGATTTGTTGAAAGAGCTTGAAAAATTGTGGAACGAGAAAGATGCCTAAAAATGTACTGGAGCAGCTAGGAAAGGCACTTGTAAGTCCACCCATTGAAAGAAGGAAGCATGTCCCCCGCACAGAAGCCTCAGCAGCAGTTGTGAAAGCTACTCGGAGTGCAGGAGCTGCTCATCAACCTGAGGATCCAGCTTCCACAGCCACTTCCCCAGCCACTTCCACAGCCACTTCCCCAGCCACTTCCACAGCCACTTCCACAGCCACTTCCCCAGCCACTTCCCCAGCCACTTCCACAGCCACTTCCACAGCCACTTCCTCAGCCACTTCCTCAGCCACTTCCACAGCCACTTCCACAGCCACTTCCACAGCCACTTCCACAGCCACTTCCTCAGCCACTTCCTCAGCCACTTCCACAGCCACTTCCACAGCCACTTCCACAGCCACTTCCACAGCCACTTCCTCAGCCACTTCCTCAGCCACTTCCACAGCCA